TGTTACAATTAATTAATTCTTTCTAAATTTCTGTAATAAAATATGAAAGATCTTAACAATGGTTGGGTTTGGAATTTTATGAAGGAAAAATTAATTAATAAAACATAAATTACAAAAGTTTACAATCCATAACTTTATTGAATAACAAACGCATGTTTAAAGTACATGTGTAATAGTTAATTGTTATTAGTTTAATTCGCAATAAAATATACAAGTACGCGAATTCCTCTCAAAAAATACACACACATTTTACAGTCATTCCAGGCAACGGTTGTCATCCCACGTTCTTTCCGGCACCACGCCCAACGCGGGCGGGCGGGCGGCGGAGGGGCGAGGTCCGGGTTCGACCTTCGGGCGCACCCTGGCCCCGGGCCGGTGCTGTCCACTGCCGCCGCCACCGCCACCGCCCAGCCAAGGCCCCGGCCGACGGAGCGACCTCCCGGTCCAGACGCACGAAAAAAACTCTTGCCACGCCACACATACACCGCCACAATGCCACCGTTTGGCCGCGGAAGGGTGTGCACGTACCCGTAGTTTCTGTTGGCATTTCATGCTATGCGTAGACAAAGCTGTGTGACAATGTTCGTGAGCGGCGTCAGCGAGTGCGTGTAAGAATATTTGGTAATCATTTTCCAGTAATTGAATTATGGTTTCGTGAATTTAGAATTGTGTGTTCTTCTGAACTGGACTTTTAAAGAAATAATTATGCTCAAACGTAACAGAACTTTTAAGAGAATAATGGTGCTAAAATGTGCAAACAATTACAAATTGAAAAAAATAGTACGACGTTTCAATAAGAATAAAAATCGCATTATATCCCGCAATTCCCAAATTGGAAATCATCCCTGTTTACCTGCAAAGTGAACAATCAGTTGCCGATTGTATAACTTTTTACGGCTTATTGGCAATTTTACGCGAAGAAAAAAATAGTTTTCAGTTTCACAATAAATATACTTCATTTTCTAATAATAACCCATTAGAAGTGCTGTTAGGAATGATCGTGGCGGTGTAAAATGAGTTACAGGTGCTTTCGTACGTCGAGATCAAGGGTCGTGCCAATGCGTGCAGCTGGGCTGTCGTTCATTTTAGGCGGAGAGCTTTCGATGCAGTTGTGCGGGTCCCAATGGTTCCAGTAGCACTGTGCGCTCAGCCAGCCTCAGCTCAGCCAGACGGTCACGTGGTCCGGAGTACTTGCTGCTTGCTTCCCAGGCAAAGGGGTATGCGCCCAAAAGTCTCATCAGTTCATTTGTACACTTATAATATCTTCTGAGGGAGTATTTTAATTTCTTTTACAGATAATCTCATATAAAATATCGTATAAATAACACTTACAGATGTTCCATTTTTTTTTATTTTAGGACGTGTAAGAAAATTCATTTAACTTATTATTACAGAATAATGAGTTTCATGATGTAATATTTTTTATTTCCATTACCACCAACCCACACGATGTATTTCCTTGGTAAAGAGTACAAAATCGTGAACAGTCTTTTCATTGTTAAATATTTAATTTTTAACGTAACTATGGCAATAAAATAGCAATTAAGCTATTCACATTTCATAAGAACCCAACAAGGTTACAAACAAGTTCTTTACGATAAGGAAATTACGAGAGCAGCTCCATGAAAAAAAACAAAACTTAATGCATTCTTATAATGGCACTGGATACGATGCAAATAAATCCTACATAAAATTACTCCTTTGAATGCTTTTGAACTTACACCCCTTTGCCCTCTCGCTGGCGGCGATTCTTTCCCATGAGGACGCGCAGGTCCCCGCGCCAGGCATCGGGGTCGAAGGAAGCGGGGAGCGGGACGGAGCGGGGACGGGCCGCTGAGGCTCCAATGAAAGGCCGTCGTCTGGGGTTAGTTTATTGTATAAAACAACCTGTGAGTCCCAGCGGGGCGCACCGGGATAAATATTGCAGAGTATGTACAAGGCGGCGCGCCCCGCCTCCCGCGACGCGGCGCCAGCAGCGGTTAATCGTCAGTTATCAATCAAACAGTCAATCAATCAGTTAATTAGTATTCTTCTTCCCCTCCTGGTTCCTCTTGCGCTCTGGTTGGGCCAGCAGGGCGGCAGGCGGCGCGGGGCGCCGGCGGCTGCCGCTAGAGCGAGTCGAAGTTGGACACGTCGCTGCCCTGCAACACGCGCGCGCGGGCGGTGAACCTGGCTGCACAGGCAGATGGTGGGCGGAGCTGGGGGTGGTGAGCGGAGCCGAGGGAGGGCGGCGAGCGGAGAGCGGATTGGTGAGCAGAGACCGGACGACATAGAGACGTTACTTTTAGGGGTTAAGATTTCAGCACCCCAGCCAGTGAGATGTCTCGACGAGAAGAAAAAAGTATATGATTAGTATTAACATGAAAATGGAGATTTTTAAATAAAATTATTTAATGGTTCACAATATTTCAGATTAGGTATTCCCTTATCCTGTTGACCGTAATAGGAAAAAATGAAGATATGAACTGAAAACCTTTTTTAAAATGTAGTTTTGTGTAACGACTGTATCATTTCGATATTTAACAAGATGTCTCAAAGAAATAAAGTTTTCTCCTGAGAATCTCGGTACTCACGGCTCCGAATTGTGGAGAAGTGGTTTCGGAGGAGGGAGCGGAGAGCGAAAGTTGCGGGCGCTGTGGGTGCGTTTTCGGAAGTCCGGGTTCTGCATCGTCATGTTCGCACATTCGGACTTTCGCCCGTCATTAATCACGCCAACGTAGCCGCGCAATTTACGTAGAGGCACATTCTAAAACACTAACGATTTACCTCAAAACGAAACCTATTTCTGACGAACTTGCCTTATGCCTTTATGCCCTTTTGCTAGAGAAGATAACAAAGATTCGATGATAAAAGAGATATCGTATCTTTTGATCAATGATATTAAAGGGAACAAGCAGTAAAGTAACACTATTATTTTTATTAACATTAATAGCTCTCTGTAACAATGTTACCAAGGTCTAGGTACTTGAGCAGCACCCCAAATTATAACCTACTCGCCCATGTTCCTTATAGGTCAACATGAAATAAATCTTTCCCGTGTGAGAGAGTTCCGTGAGCGCTGTGCTCATTGCATCCCTTGTTGGAGATGATTAACCGTTGTTGCCGAGGAAAGGCCACGCCACGCTCGGGACGGCTCGAGTGGCGTCTCCGTGGCTCACGACTCCGCAGTACCTTTCGAGCGCAGCGCGGGGTGGGCG